CTCCAAGTCGCCCTTTGTATATTGAAGACCATAATGTTGAGTGCCGTTAAGATACCGTAATATCCTTTTGACAGCCAAGTAATGAGACTCCATGGGACACTGCATGAACTGAGCAACCTGATGTACCGAAAAAGCAATATCAGGTCTTGTGAAAGTTAGATACTGTAAGGCGCCCATTATACTTCTGTACAATGGAGGATTGTCAAATGGTATGCCATCATCCTTAAGAAGGCGATGAGATGAGAAGGCAGACAAGGAGTAGCACAAGACTTGGACTGATGCATTTCTGTCTTCTTTGTCAATAAATCGGTGACATATCTATGCTGAGACAGAAACAACCCTTCTGTATTGGTTGTGATTTGAACACCAAGGAAATAATGGAGTGGTCCCAGATCCTTGATATCAAATTCTGTAGCCAACGCAGAAATGAGCTCTGGAATTACAGAAATGGCACTGCCAGTGATGATGATATCATCCACATAGAGAAGAAGAAGTACTATTCTAGAAGAAGTATGTTTGACAAACAATGAAGTGTCGGCATAAGTTGTGTGAAATCCCAAGGAAGGCAAGAACTTAGTAAATCTCTCATTCCATGCCCGGGGAGCTTGTTTGAGACCGTATAAAGACTTGTGAAGTTTACACACTGAGGATGAATAGATAGGGTCTACAAACCCCGGAGGCTGCGCCATATACACTTCTTCTTCCAAAATACCATGCAAAAAAGCATTTTTGACATCGAGCTGCCGTAAACCCCAACCATAATGTGCAGCTAAGGCAAGAACAAGACGTACTGTAGTAGGCTTAACAACAGGACTGAAGGTTTCACCATAATCGATTCCTGCCTCTTGATTGAACCCCTTGGCCACAAGCCGAGCCTTGTATCTCGAAATGGTACCATCAGCATGTCTCTTGATCTTAAAAACCCACTTGCACCCCACAAGGTTTCTGTTTGATGGTAAAAGAACTAAGGACCAAGTTTTCTGGGAATGCAAGGCTTGTAGTTCCTCCTCCATGGCTTTATACCAAACTGGCGATTTAAGAGCAGATTTATAAGACAGTGGTTCAATCTGAGATAAGTCAACGTCTGTAGTTGGAGAAGTCAGAGCACTAAATGCTTTCTTCTTGACAATACCACTCTTCGATCGTGTTTTCATAGGATGCAAGTTAAATGGAGGTAGAGGAAGAATGACTTGTAAACTTTCTGGAAGAAACTCAGGAGCCACAGGAATGGAAGGAGAAGTACACTGAGGGACATTGCAAGTAATGGGGGAGCTGATGTCGTCGGTTGCTGTTGGCTGAGACAGTTCAGGTGCAGGAGAAAGATTGGAAGATCTAGGAGTGGCAGTAGCAGTGCGAGGTATAACACTAAGGCTAGGCACGGATGAATTAGATGACACTCCAACAAGCAGGTTATCCCGTGTAATAGACACTGGATTCATTGGTATTTTAGGAACAGAATGTGAAGTAGAAACAGATGACTTTTGGACAAGAGAGGAATAAAGGAAATCACACTCATCAAATATAACATGTCGTGAAATATAAATTCTCTTTGAGCTAACTTCAAAACAGATGTACCCCTTGTATTTAGATGCATAACCCAGAAAGATACATAATTTGGTTTTAGGTTGCAGCTTGTTACTAGTATAAGGCTTTAAGAATGGGAAACATGCACAACCAAAGATTCTAAAGTGTTGAACATCTGGAACTGAATTGAACAGAACCTCAAATGGTGACTGATTATTTGTAGTTGAAGAAGGCATCCTATTTATAAGGTATATCGCAGTTTGACAAGCAAAGGACCAGAAAGATGTTGGAAGATGTGCATTCTGTAACAATGTGATGGAGGTTTCAACTACATGCCTATGTTTGCGTTCTGCCAGCCCATTTTGTTCTGGAGTATGGGGACAAGAGATTTGATGAGTGATCCCTTTATCTAACAGAAAAGATTGAAGAGTGTGACTTGTATATTCCCCACCCCCATCACTTTGTAAAGTTTTAACAGAAACTGCAAAGTGATTAAAAATGAACTGATAGAAACCAATGAACACAGAGCAGACTTCACTTTTATTATGTAGAGGAAAAAGCCAACAATATCGAGTACACTCATCAATGAATGTCACGTAGTATTTAAAACCATCAATAGAGGTACAAGGAGCAGGACCCCAGACATCACTATGAACTATTTGAAAAGGATTTACAGCCTTAGACACAGAGGATGAAAATGGGAGCTTGCTGAATTTTCCTTGTAAACAAGAATGACACACAGAAGATGAGACATCATAGGGGACTGAGATATTGGACTTTCTAAGAATAGTAAACAAAATGGAATTGGATGGGTGACCTAGTCTGCTATGCCATAAATTGGAATGTACTTTCTGTCCAAGAAATGCAGTTGTAGAGGCTTGATTCTGAATTGCAGCTGGTCTTGACATTGGTAGTGGATATAACCCATTACTGCACTGGCCCTTGTACAGAATCCTCCCTGTGGCTTTGTCCTGAATCCAGAAATTAAAAGCATCAAAGATTAGCCAACAATGGTTATCTAGACAAATTCTGTGCACAGACAACAAATTCTGAGTAATTTTGGGAACATATAAAATGGAATTAAGCTTCAAATTTTGAGTAGGGGTCTGAATGATAGAAGAACCAATGTGTGAAATTGGTAAACCTGCACCATTCGCAGTTTGAATGGTATCTGTGGATGAGAATGGAGTAGCCAAGGAAAGATTCTGTAAGTCTGCAGTAAGGTGATTTGTTGCCCCTGAATCTGTAATCCAAAACTGCTGAGATGAATCATTTGATGGTGGAGTGGATGAGGAAGAGTTTACATGCATTGCCGTCATTTGAGAAGCAGAACCAGAAATATTGGCATTTCGAAAATGACAGAACTGAGCAGTGTGATTCTTCTTGCCACATATTTGACAACCATCAACTACAACAACATCAGTATTTCGAAACCGACAGGTATCAGCAAGGTGACCAAATTTTCCACATATTTGGCAAGCTGATTGGGTTGGAGGGGCACCAAGAATACCAGGAGCAGGAGTTGTATAGGTATTTCGTGAATTCCCAAATCGAGAATTAGTATTATAGTTGAATTTTCCTCGACCCTTGTTCTTGATGTAATTATTCTTGAAATATGTATGTTGCTGAAGTGGGACACCAGAGACACCAGAAGATTGATGTGGTGAATACCCGGGACTTGGATTGGCAGAAACCCCTTGACTATGACCACCAGATTCAGAGTTCTTGGCAATCATGGCAGACAAAAATGGCGTAACAGCTGTATTCTCAATCATTGCTTCTCTTCAGCAAGCAACTGAGACCTCAGATCCTTAAGAGAAATAACATTCTCTCGACCTCGAATGATAGACCGGATGGTATTATATTCTCCCGATAAGCCATTAAGAGTGAGAATGACAATATCATCATCCTCGAAATGAACTCCGGCAGCTGCCAAATAATCACGAGCAGCCTTGATCCTCTGCAAGAATTGAGATATAGAATCAGGGCCTTTCTTGATATTCTGTAACTCAGACTTCATCTGGAATATGGTTGCACGAGTAACAATAGAAAATTGCTCCTTGAGACGAATCCATAGATCCCGAGCACTGGTGCTTCCAATGACACATGAAATAGCGGATGGAGAAAGGGTGACAGTAATAAGCTGCATTAAAGCTCGATCATGCATCTTCCAGATCTTGTATGCATCTGTTTCAATTCGGGACGAGGAATCTCCAGAATCTAAATCAGAATCGCCAGACCCAGAAGAGCCAAACTGTGCAGGACAAGGACTAGAACCATCCAAGAACCCCATAATTCCATGACCTTCAAGTAGGAGTTGCATCTGAAAGTGCCATGTGAGGTAGTTGGAATCATCAAGCTTCACAGTCACCGACGTAGGAACAGTGGAGATAAGAGATGTGATAGGCGATTGCACAATTTGTAGTTGATTGGCAGTCACCATTGCAAAATTGTCGAAGAAGAGTTCTCACAGGAAATGTATCGAACACGTAGAGGGCACGATTGCGCAGACGAAGAATCACAACCCGAAGAACTATGAAAATTCCCAGATCAGAAGAACACAACAGAGAAAGAAAGAATCTTGAGCGGCGGAAGCAAAAATCAACAATTCCAAGATCAGAAAAAAACCTTTCAAGCACGTAGAGCTTGATCGGCGAATGATACCATGTTAAGCAACATATTAAGTTGCAGTAATGTAATATCACAGAGAAGATGAAGAGGTTTTAGAGATAGAAAGATAGAGAGAGAGAGAGAGAGAAATGAATTATATTTCTGTACTGCAAAGTTACTGAATTACTCTACTTACAATTGTTATATAGTTATCTATATTACTTCTTCACTAAGACACCTTATCCTACTTATAACAACCATACTGATCTTATAACAACCACACTGATCTCTTGACACATGTCAATGTATCTAACCATCTATTATCTATACTGTTAACAATTGGATGCTAAGCACCATTTGTGAAGGAGAACAAGAACAGGAGCATAGTTTGTAAAAACCATTCGTATATGAGGTTGTATTACTCTTTTGATTCCAAGTGCATAAGTTTGAACATAAAAAGATCAGATAGACGGATATGTCTAGAGAATAATATGAGAAACATATGCCTCTGACGAAGCCATCATCTCAGTCATCTCCTGAAATTAGGCAAACACAAGAAAGTCCACCCTCACAAGAATCTGGCTTATTTCCTTCCCTTGTAATTGCTTATTTACTTTCCATGTAATCACTCAATTAGTTTGATTGTATTGATATACTTTCTGTAAATGGGACTGTGTGGTCCACGCTTGTAATTATATATATAAATGAATACCATGACTGACAGATTAGTCAAGAATTCCAGCATAGAACCTTTCTTGCCGTAACACTCTAAAACCTCAGTGGTCCATATTTCTTTATGGTACCAGAGCCCTAAAAGGGCTAACACCCAAACAGTCGATCCTATTCTTTTCTTCCTCTAACTATCAATGGCAAACCCTGATAACTCGGCTTTCTCCTCCGCTACATCTGGTGCATCTAGAACCTCTGACAGTCTGACTCAATCTACCATGGCGGGCTTCACTTCTGCTCTTCCTACCTCCTTCAATATATCTAATCTCTTCAACACACCAATGGATCGCACAAATTTTCTTAGTTGGAAGTCACAATTCGAGGATGTTCTCAAACTTCATGATCTTGGTATTATTGTTAAACTTGAAGATAAACCTGCCAAGAACTTATCTGATGGCTCACTCAATCCTCTATACGCTAAGGACAAGCTAGTGCTCAGTTGGATCAAGGCCACAGCATCTCCCTCAATAAAGACTCTTCTCATTCCATGTTCGACTGCCTTCGAAGCCTGGATTCTTCTCGAAAAGAGGCTCTCTCCTCTCTCTAAGACTCATGTAAGAACCCTCAGGGACCAAATTCGTACCCTCAAAAGGACTCCGGATCAACAAATGTCTGATTATCTTATACATGCTCGGTCACTTTTTGACTCTCTTGCCTCCGCTGGAACACCGATGACAGACAGCGAACTAATTGAATATATATTAGATGGTATGGGTCATGAGTATAAAGAGTTCACCACTTCCCTTCATCTTCGTCAAACTCTCACTATTGATGAATTTTTTGATCTACTCCTTCAAGAGGAACAACTCCAGAAAAGAATGGAAGCACTTTCATTATCAAACGGAGTTGCACTTGCCACAGATCGGGTAGCCCATAATCATCCACACAGCAGGCCTCAAACCAACAACTCCAAGGGACACGGACGCGGACGCGGACGCGGACGTGGTCGTGGTCATAACTGGAACAATGGGCGTGACAACTTTGACCATCGTGAACATGGAAGAAACTTTAATCACGATCGTGATGGTGGTTGGCGGAACAACCGTAATGGTGGCAATCAATGGGCGTAAAATAATAATGCAAATGGCACCTTGTATTATGGAAACCCACGACATAATCCAATTCCACCGGATAATCATCCACCGCTGCTCCCAACACCGTCAAATCCCTCTGCATTTCAGTTTGATGTCCCTTGCCAACAATGTGGAAATGATGGTCATAATTCTCGTGTTTGCCCTCAACGAGGCAACTATGCCTACACGGCTGATCACTCTGGTGCTATCTCAGACCCAATTGATTGGTGTTTTGACTCCGGATCAACCCACCACATGGTTTCTGATCCTCGTGCACTCACCAACGTGCAACCTTATACAGGTACTGATTCTTCATTGTTGGTAACGGGTCTCACCTTTCTATTATGTATATTGGGGATGGAAAGCTATGCACACCATCGAGTTCATTGCATCTTAAAGGGGTCTTATGTGTTCCAGCCATTCGGAAAAATCTATTATCTATTCGAAGATTTTGTCATGATAATGATTGTTATTTCATCATAAATGCTTATGGTTTTTGTGTCAAGGACAACAAGACGGGGAAGGTTCTTCTAGTTGGCAGTAGCTTCAATGGTCTCTATCACATCCATGCAGCCCCAAAAGTGACAGAGAAAATAGTTTTCTATGGAGAAAAGACGACTCAGGACGTTTGGCATACTCACCTTGGACACCCGTCTTATCATGTATTTCGGATGATTTTGAATAAACACCATTTACCTATTAGTGGTGAGATTGATTCTAATAAAACTTGCCATGTTTGTCCCATGGGAAAATCTTGCAGATTACCTTTCTCTAATCGCACTTCTCATACACAAAAACCTTTAGAATTATTGCACTTGGATCTTTGGGGACCGGCACCTGTTTTGTCAAACTTTGGATATAGATTTTATCTCTCCATTGTGGACGATCACACCCGTTACGTATGGCTGTATCCATTACTCAAAAAATCCGATGTGCTTGCCACCTTTATTGGGTTTAAAAAGATAATTGAAAATCGACTCAATTTAAATATCAAAATGGTACAAATGGATGGTGGTGGTGAATTCACAAGTCGGTTATTCATGAAATTTCTTCGTGATAATGGGATTGGGCATCAAATCTCTTGTCCTTATACGCCTCAACAAAATGGCGTTGTCGAAAGAAAACATCGCCACATAGTTGAAAAAGGGTTGTGTTTATTGATTCAATCTCGACTTCCATCAAGTTATTGGGCTGAAGCTTTTTCTACTTCCGTCTATCTTATTAATCGGCTGCCAACCGTGAATCTTGCCAACATATCTCCATATGAGAAACTTTTTCAGCGTCCTCCTGATTATAAGATGCTCAAAGCATTTGGTTGTGCATGTTTCCCACACTTGGTGCCATATAACAAGCACAAACTTATGCCTAAGTCAGTAAAATGTGTGTTCATTGGTTATGATTTACATTACAAGGGTTATCGATGTTTAGATCCCATCACAGGTCGTGTTTATATTTCACGAAATGTAACCTTTGATGAACTCACATTCCCTTTTTCTGAGCTTACATCCAGGAACAAGGAAGCTGCTCCATTCTCCTTGCCGACACCAGCCCCAATCCTCATTGAGCCAATTGCTCCTCTTTCAAGTCTGGTGCACACTCCTCATGGCAGAACCTAATATGCCAACAACTCCTCATATGGCAGCACCTCCAACTACTGCAACATCTCCTCAAATGGTAACTTCTCTTGACACAGCAACAACTCCCAATATGGTAGCAACTCCCCATGTTACAGCAACCATTTCACCACCATCATCGCCTATTTCAGCAACATCCACAGCACCACCAGCTTCTCCTGATCACTCTCCAGGTTATAACAAATTTTGCAGCATTAATTCACTTATTTATAGCACTTCTCCACATCCATTGCCTCATGCCTTAGCTGCCATTTTGAATGATCCACTTTCTCATGAACCTTTAAGTTATTCTCAGGCTGCCAAGCACACACATTGGCAACATGCTATGCAAGTTGAATATGACGCTCTCATGCACAATCATACCTGGTCCCTCGTGCCCTATTCACCATCTATGAATGTCATTGGGTGTAAGTGGGTCTTCAAAGTGAAAAGGAAAGCGGATGGTTCTATCGAAAGGCATAAAGCACAGTTAGTTGCCAAGGGGTTTAATCAACAAGAAGGTTTGGACTACGACGAAACGTTTAGTCCCGTTGTCAAACCTGCAACTATTCGCACAATACTCTCTTTAGCCGTCTCATTTGGTTGGACACTCCAACAGTTGGATGTTCGTAATGCTTTTCTCAACGGCATACTACAGGAGGAAGTCTATATGAAGCAACCACTCGGGTTTGTTGATCCTAGTTGTCCCAAATATGTGTGCAAACTCCATAAAGCTCTTATGGCCTTAAACAAGCCCCTCGTGCTTGGTTTCAGCGACTCACTTCATTTTTACTCACCCAGGGATTTTTCCATAGTCACTCTGATGCCTCATTATTTATTCGTCATGGTTCCCAATCCTCTATTTTTGTGCTTATCTATGTCAGCGATATCATTATCACAAGCCATAATGCCATGGAAATCTCTTCCTTTATTGATGTGTTGTGCTCCAAGTTCGATAGTCGCCGGATGGGTGATCTTAGTTTCTTCCTTGGACTAGAGATTACTCGTACCTCTACTACGATTTCTCTTTGTCAAACGCGATATGCACTTGATCTTCTCAAGAAGTTCCATATGGAGTCATGCAAACCGAGTCCCACACCCTTGAGTTCCTCTACTCGACTATCTTCCTTAGATGGTGACCCTTTAACTGATTCGTCTACTTATCGGAGCATTGTTGGTGGCTTACAATATCTTACACTTCCTCGACCTGACATAGCTTATGTAGTCAACCAAGTGTGTCAATTTATGCATGCTCCACGAATGACACATCTACAAAGTGCAAAACGTATTCTCCGCTATGTTAAAGGTACTCTTTCTTATGGTCTTCTTTTTCATAAGGCACCTCATTTCAACCTTTATGGTTTCTCGGACTCCGATTGGGCTGGGAGTGTTGATGATCGTCGCTCTACCACTGGTGCGTGCATCTTTCTTGGACCTAATCTTCTTACATGGACTGCCAAAAAGCAATCTACTGTCTCAAGGTCTAGCACGGAGGCTGAATATCATGCCCTTGCTACTACGGCAGCTGAAATTCGTTGGTTCTACTACTTATTTCGTGAACTTGGCATCGCCTTGCGTGTACCTCCTTGCATTTTTGTTGACAACATGTCTGCTCTTCATATTGCTGCGAACCCTATCTTTCACGCAAGGACTAGACACATCGAAATTGACTATCACTTTGTTAGGGAGCTGCTCAACTTTGGTGTCCTCCGCACTCGCTACGTCCCATCTGCACATCAGCTTGCCAATATCTTTACTAAGGGACTCACTCGTGAACACTTTCATTCTTTAGTTCCCAAGCTCAAGCTCCATTACGTTTCGTCTCGCTTGGGGGGGTGATGAGAAACATATGCCTCTGACGAAGCCATCATCTCAGTCATCTCCTGAAATTAGGCAAACACAAGAAAGTCCACCCTCACAAGAATCTGGCTTATTTCCTTCCCTTGTAATTGCTTATTTACTTTCCATGTAATCACTCAATTAGTTTGATTGTATTGATATACTTTCTGTAAATGGGACTGTGTGGTCCATGATGCGAAATATATAAGCACACAAATTAAACCCTATTTGTGACAATTGTAGTAATGATGTAAGTAGGGATCGTTCTAACCGGGGATTAACTAGGGGTGCTAAACACTTGACTCAAATAAATAAAACTAACTTTTAAAACACTAAGACAAACCAAAAGACTCAAAACAAGTTCAAAAGACTCCAAATACTTAAAAGCATAAAATAAGATAGATTTGAACGACTAAGACTTTAACAAAATATGGGGGGGAAATTGAGTTGTTTTTTACGAGATTAAATTAAATGGACAGATTATAATTAAGGGCAAAATGTAAATATGAATGCAATGAAAAATATGGATGATGGAATAGCTTAAGGGGTTCTTCTCCACACATGTCACACTTGCAATACAAGATCGATTCTCAGTTGGTCTTTCGATAAATTATGAAACTCAACACCCTAGGTTAATTAGGTCCGCTTAAATTAACCGTCAAGTTCTCCTTAAGTTAATGAATTGGATGGGTTTGCGCAACGCAATTCACAACATTCTCCAAAAGTCCTTTACGTGAAAAGCACAATAAAGATACAATCAAAGATCATTAAGCATCATGAAAACTATAAGTGTTGACGAGGTATTCGTTACTATGAAAAGCATGAAACTAGTGCCAAGAATTCATTTAACGCGATTGTTTATAAGCAACCTCCACTACTTGTGAATATAAGTTCATAACGATTAGGTGAAACTCACTTATATTCTAGCGTCATATTTATGCATGAAAATTAAGCGTGCACTCTCAATAAACATACATAAATAAGTTATCAATCAAACGGTTAAACAAATTGAATCCACAACTTATGAAATTCCAACCAAAGATAATCAATTCATATTGCAAGCATAAACATAGTTTCGAATCACCCCCTAGCTAAAGGGGGGTTTAGTTCCTCATACTTGCAAAACAAAGATACATAAAATTAGACATTGAAATCAAAGATAGAAAACACCTAGAAACGCTCCAACACTCCCAAGGCTTGGGCTTAGGCACGGCACAAGATGTTCCTTCTCCTTCCTTACTTGCAAGCTGCGGCACTAGAGGTTTTGGACGGTTTTGGGTGGTTTTTATGGTGTAGAATGGATGGGGAATGGTATGGAAAGGTTTAGGATTGATGGGTGGTGTGGCTAGGGGTGGTTTTTGGCTAAATTTGGAGAGAAAATCTGTTATGACTTTGATGAATATGGAAGGTGGTATTTATAGGCTTGAGATAGGACCACTCCATTTCCTTTGCATGTGAGCTTGTGTGGGTGTGTGTTGGCATGTTTCCTCTTTACATTTACACACACATGCTTCATCATTTCAAGCACCAAACACCCACATTTTC